AACAAAACTTTTTAGATTCTGCGAACATTTTATGAAACTTTGCCAGTTGGCAGAAAAATTTCCAAAATGTTTGCAGAATCAAAAAAGTTTTGTTTGAAAGACCTTAAGGCAGGCATTCTTCAGCAAAAAGTAAGGTAAAAACCAATGGAACAGCTATATAGTGGAATGCCTTTAAAAATTGGAAAGGTGGGCTTGAAGAAAGGTTTCTTAGACTGAAAAATTAAAATAATTTATTTCAGAAGGTGCAAATTCATCGGAAGTGCTGTTCGGAGAAAAGCCAACTTTTATTTTCCATTGGATAATTTCAATTGCCATTGTCTTTCCAGACTTTCATATAAAGATAATAGACTTCATTGCTACTTCTAAAAATGTATCATGAGCTTAAGAAAAATTCCCCAGGACCAGAAAAAATTGTTTTCTACCCACACCAGTCCACAGATCAGGGGTTGGGTAACAGTAACACTACTCCAGTCTGTGTACCTCTTTTTGGGCCAAGAAGCTGCGATAATGACACAGAAACGGCATACACACGGCACGGGATTTCGACAAATGAAACTCGCGTGACTGAAATGAATGAAAACGAGTTCCGGGCTTATTGCCCAATCCCGACCTTTCATTGCCGCGGCCCGGCCGAAAGCAATAAACGCGAGAGAGCCCGCGAGGGTGAAAATCTGGGCCAGGTCTGAGCGACGTTTCCGTCTCTCGCGAAATATGATAGGAGGGTTTTATAGGGCTTGATGACTACCGCAACGCCGCGTTTCCTGCGTTATTTATAACCCCTGCCGGACGTCGGGTTAACCAGCGAGACAGCCGAGCCGCGGATTAATGCGGCGAGAAATGCGATTTAGACGCGATGTGTTATTTGGAGAAGCTGTTGTCCCCTGGGGTGCAACAAGTGCGCTCTCTTATCCATACTCGGACTTGTAGGACACCCATCCCCAGAATGATGCACTCCTTTCTCATACAGATACAGACAAAGGTCTTACAGTTGAACTTGAAAAGATAATAAAGAAATACTCAGGGAGGTTTCCATTTGGGGGGGGCAGAGACTTACAGAACATTGTACTGATGATATTGATGGAAGAATTGCAGAAAATTATAATTGATGATACCCTAGAGGCCTAGACCTTATTTTCAAACTAATTTCTTTCATTTTATCATAGTACAGTGAAACCTCCTGAGTCACATTTCAGAAGGACAATCAAACAATTTGAGCAAGGGAGGTTTTGAATTGGGGAAACAAGCATTTTTGTTGGGGAAGAGAAAGAATTGCAGAAAATTGTAATTAATGATATTTCTAGCCTGAAATTAGTTGACAGAGTGTTGAACTCAAGGTAAGGGTTCATTTGCCCAATTAATCTTTCAATTCCTTTGAAAACACGTCGTTAATTCTTTCATTGCCTTTCTCTTTTATGTTTCAAGAAAAATGATAGCCAAATGACCTCAGAATATTTTAGTGAATTTGAGTGGGCTTGAGAGAAAAATCCCTCGAGGTTTTTCAGTTTTCCTGAGGGGATTCCGACAGGACTTGTATCAAATTTTACTTGTGGAGGTTCAACCATAGTCAGACTTTGTTTTGATGCTTGAACCAATATCTTGGATGTGGACGAGAGAAGTGCTCAAAGCATGACTTTTAATGAGTCAACACACACAGCAGAATCTAGGTAGCCATAGCCACATTTTTCCACATACCCTATTTACTCAAGTACCAAGCCCCTCAAAGAAAATGTGCTAACCTTTGTAATATTTGCACTTGCTCACCTCAATGCCTTCATACTGGTCTGTAGCTAGGATATTCAATCAAAACTTCAAACAAGTCCACTGCATCATTTACATGATCAAACTTGTATATAGTTTTAGGACACATGCACAAACTTGAAAGAATGGCCCTTGAAACAGGAAGACCATGAAGTCAACTGCTATGGATTTTGCTACCCATGGTATTCAGATGATATGAAATGCGGGAAAGAAACTCAATAATCATAACCAATGACTAGCATGTCAGTGTAACCATGCATTTTTCAGCACTATGACTTAATGCTCATAAGGAGAACAAGAAACTACTGCAATGATTTTTGAAAAAGGTACGGTCCAGTCCGTCCTGATGAGGGGCCATCACAATCCTTGCCACAAATCATGAATTGAAATTCCAAATTTGTTGAGAAACTTTG